GATAGAATATGACATCCACAAGAGACACACCGAATGGAAAAAGCAGTTCACAGAATACAAACACAAAATTCACATAAAAATAAGTTTTCATAGTATCTTATGTAGCCTCTTATAAAATTGAAGCCAAATACTTTTAAAATTAGGACATATTTTCCCAACCATAAGCATAAATGAAGAGTTAGCTCTAGATACTTGCCTTGTGAATTGGATGACATTAAGCTGAGGACCAGATGTTTTCCATCTGTGTTTTAGATTATGTTAAATACAAAATCATTAGAAAACACCTAGATGATGGAGCAGTTTAACATATTTAAAGAATCAGATGATATGAAGATTACCTTAGACTTTAGAAAATTTTAATGTATTTTTTATCTCAGAATTTTAAGTACTAAAGTTTTACTGTAAAATAAACTTTTATTTTATAATATGCAAACTCAACCTTCATAACCCAGAAACAACTTTCTGAAGGGTAAAAACTGCAGATTTCCCATATGATATCAAACTTAACAAAAGACTTATTTTCCTTGGGTTGAATGTTGGTATTAGGTAGACAACAAAAAATATTAGTTAATGTAGTTTATTATGTATTGTGTAGAAACTACTGCAGTTCATGTGCATGGGCTGAATTATGAATCGTCAATGAAAATAATGCTTTATATAATCACTAAAGATATGGAAGGAAAAGTCTAGAAAGAGAAGTAATTAAAATATCAGCATGGAATTATACTATATCAATCATAAATGTGCAAATTGGTAATAGGTTGTAATAGTAAAACAACTATGAGACAAACCAAAAAAGTTGTCATGGTCCATAGCTATGTGACTTATCTTTGTTGAACAAATATCATTTTATAATAGGGACATTATATAAATTATTTTACAAAGTCTAAATTGACTTGAAAGATTGTTGTCTCTGCTAACATCAGATTCTTTAAGAAAAATCAAGGGAGAAGCAATTCACATCAAGATCTTTATGAAAAGGGAATCTGAACAACCCTAGAGAAGAATTTGCTGTTTAAATTACATATATTGAATGCTACCTTAATCAGGTCATGGTTATAGTGACCTAGTAATGAAAACATGTCCTTTTGCTGTACTAATCTAAACACACACATATATATGTATATGTATATATACACACACAAATATATAAAATATATATGGTTTTTGGATGCTGGCAAATCCCAATTAAAAAAAATTTATTTTGTATATGTGTATTTGTGTACACACACCCAACATACACATCATATATATCATTACCAACATGCAACTATCTAGATGTTTTCCTACTTTATCAAACTATGATGGGCATGTAGACTTTAAAAACTGCCCTAGTTCTTATGTTTTTTCTCTTTTTTCTCATATTCCTTTAAAATTCTCCTCTACTTGTTACTTGGGAGCTGAGGTAGGAGCTGAGGTTCAAGGGCACCTTTGGCAACTGAGCAAGACACTGTATCACACTAAAAAAGGACTGGGGATGTAGCTTAGTGGTAGAGTACCCTTGGGTTCAATTCCCAGTAATGGAGGGGGGGTCATTTAAGCTGGAGGAAGGTAATGATATTTAATTAGGAATTAAACTATAGTTACATTTACTTAAGGTATGAATTTAATTCCTTAATACAAACCATTTCTTAAGGAAACACTGTCAACTTTGCCATTATGTAATGTGATGAGCTAAAGCAAGTTAAAGAGATTTGCAATTTTAGAACCTATATAACTCGGTAGGTATTTTCGTGAATTTGAAGACTTAGCTACTTCTGTTGTAACATTCTGTGAAACTCTCACAACAGAACCAAAATAAATGAAAAATGCTGCTGCTTTAAAATGATGATTTAAAAACCTATAGTATTTCAAAACAGTGCAATCTGGGGTCGAAACTGCTTTTTCTATAAATGTCATTGTTTGAAATAGGTATCTGCAAGAATCATGCTTCAGCAAGATTAATATTTTAATTGACATGTCTTGTTTAACTTAAGGCAAACAAACAATATAAGCCACATAGTTATAGATTTAAACTCTAGGGGTTGGGGATGTAGCTTGGTGCTTACCTAGCATGCTCCTGGCTCTGGGTTTGACCTTCAGCATCTCAAAAAAGATTTAAACTCTAGAAAAATCTAGAAAAGATTAACATAGAGGTGAATAACAGATATATTTTCCTTAACATAATTTACTTTCATCCATTACCAGAACTATTAAATATTAGTGGTTAGCGAAAGGTATATTTACATAATTTTCCCTTGAGAAAAGCAAAAAACTCTGTTAAGCTCATAAATACACCATTCCAAATTAGCTAATTTGCTGGTTACTCAATTTCTGTTTCCATGTTGTTGATCAAAAGATTTCATTGGTTCACGAGTATAAAGTTTAAAATAATATATCACTACTTTTAAATTTTTCTAAAATATAGCATTCTATATTTGGCATGCTACCAAAACAGTTGCTTTTAAAGATCTAAAAAGTCTAGTGACATTAGGCAATCATTAGCATATTCAATTAATTTTTAACACTTAATTGAATTGTGTGCTATCTTTATGTAAAGCCTCGAATAAAGTTGGTGAATTAAACTTGGTTTTTGGATGCTGGCAAACCCCAATTTTAAAAATTTAGTTATATTAATAGTAGCTTGCTACCAAAATTCTCATTTAAATTTCATTAAATTTTTCTGCTCCAATGATACTTATGCATGTTATGTATAGTATTAATTCTTGCATACTGGTATGTTTAAAAATATTTTTCATGCCTTAAATTGTACTCTGGTTGCAGTTTTCTGAAAATGTATACAGCAGCAGTTCAAATTTTAACAGCTTGTAAACTAATACATTTCAAACTTGCATTTGAGCAGTTAATAGCTTATTTTCAGTATCAACATGAAATTCCTTCCTATGCTTGGATAGTAATATCACATTATTATGGCTTCTTGATTTCCACTTGGAAAATGGCATAAATAATTTTTTTTCTGAAGTAACTAGAGCTAGATTTGCAGTGGTAAATGAGCAACATGTTTTCAGCTATATCAAGTTAAAGACGAATTTTACTGTAGTTAAAAATATTTGTAGGTTCTATTAAGCTCAACCATAAGAAAAAAAAGTTATTGCCATAAATGACTTTGTTTTGCTTTAAAATTGTATGTGCCTTATTTTTGGTAAATTCCATACCTTTTACCTTGTCCTTTAAACAAACACATGGTTATAAGAAAACTATCTTCAATACCTCATCGGTTTAGATTTTAAATTCCACACTTTATAGCTATTTTCACTGAATTTTATTTTCAACACTTCATCCCTTTGAATACTATATAAATCATACCCGTCAGTAATAGCCATTAGACTCATTTCAAAATTGCTGTTTTTCTTTTCTACCAAAGGCATTCTCTCATATGTGATAATCACTTCAAATTTCCTGAGTTCAAAGCCCTTGGTCTTTTCACTCTCTCACAAGGATTCCTTTCCCCATCACCTGCCAAGAAACCTTTTCTGATTCTGAAGTTGATCTTAGGGCATGTTTCAGCTGTGAGAATTTCTGTAACTTCATGGAATGGAAGTTTCTGTAACTCCTCACATTGAGTTGTACAAGTAAATGTATACTCTCCATCTAAATCAAGATTAGATTAACTAGAATAGGTCTAGATGAAGAATACACATTTACATGTATATTACTATTACTGTTCGGCAACTTTATTATTATTGCTTGCAAAACTGCCACACCCTTGAAAATTGAGCCTAAATTGCCTTTCCTAGATAAAGAACCAGAACCACTCACATTCCTATGTCATTAAATAGTTCCAAAATCTAAAATGAAAGTAAATGGCTCCAAGGCATACTTCCACAAAGAATCTAATATTCATTTGTTATCTTGTCCATTATATAGTAAAATTCTATTTCTTAGGAGTATAAAAGTAATTTTCATCTCAATTATGTTCATGTTGGAAGATTATTTAATGCAAGTCTTAAGACCAACCCTGTTAACTTTTAAGCATTTACTCTTTGATTTCAAACAAAATACAAAGGTAGCAGTAATTTGTAAGTTATGAAATATTATCCATTTACATACATCTCTATTATGAAAAGATTATCCATTGAAATTTGTCATTTATGATGTTAATATTTTAAAAAAATTTAAGCCATTTCCTTTCTGTTTTATCTCTTTTTGCTAATTCTAAATCAAAAGGTTTAACTGCTCATTAAGATTCAAGTTTCAGGCTTAAAAATTCAAATATTAGCAAACACCAATAAGTTAGTTGAGACACTTGAAAAACACACTGTAAACTTTAAAATTTCAAATTTTAGAGAAAGATGAGAAGTTGAGATAAAAAATATCCTGTTTCCACATTTCCAAGCTGTAAGGTCCTCCCTGAGAATAATCTTAGTCTACTCTGATGATTAAAAAAACAAAATAAAATCCCAAGATACAAAATGGAATTAAATGTCCTGGCCTAACCAGATATTTCTAGTTAGTTACTTTGATACAAGACTTGTTAATATTTCCATAGCAAAAAGATTAAGAAGCAAGCAAGACAGTAGTTGTAAATGTTGACTGGGCTGAAATATGGAAGTGACACCTGGGAATGGTTATATTTCTGGTTCTCTTCCAGGCAAGGAACAATCATAACTAGGGTCCCCAGTTTCTCTGTTCCCTTTAACTCCAAATCTCACCCTGTGAACAGATTCTTACATCTATCTATTCTTACAACCTGTCTCCCTGACCCAAGTACAACCAAACTCCAGGGAGATAGAGCACCTGTGTGTGACCTGTCCTGAGAGTACCAACAAATGGAAAGCCTCAGGGAATTCGCCACTTAAGAAAAAGAATGGTTATTGTTATTTGCACAGGTTTCTGCAAACACAACCCGACAGTGAAGTCCTAAAGCCGCAGGAGAAACTCAAACTGACGGGAGAATCTTACCCTAGCCTCTACTACAAATCTGACCTTGCCCTACTTCTATCCATGCACCCAATGCTTGCCCATGACTTCGCAAACCAAAGAAGCCGCCGACACATGCAGCACACTGGAGCCATCAAATTCCCAGTGAAACCTGACCGCTTTGTAAAGCCTCCCGGAAGAAGAAAAGATCAAATGAGATCTACTCTGCGGGGTCTTCCTAAGGTGACCCTAACGTATTTATTTTCACGCTGCAACTGCTGGTCGCTTTACAGAGACATATCATGCTGTAGCTCTGCGTGTAGCTGAGGACAAAGAAAACATTTTATTAATGTTATAATTATTATAATTACTCTTTTAACAAAGCTATTAAATAACCTGTACAAAGCCCGAAGGGTCCTAGCGAAAACCCGAGCAATATTTAAAATCTCCCAAGGTCCTTTCGCTTTCATTCAGCAGCGTTTCCTATATACAAGGCCAGCTCTGGGTGATACCTCCCAACTGTAGGTCTCCCAGATGGTGGAAATGATTCAGAGTTTAGAACCACTCCTAGGGTAACTCAACATCCCAACCATGACCCTACAAGTCCCAGATCCCAACCGTCCCTCTGTTCTAGGGCTAAGGAAAGTGAGAGCCCGGCTCTACTTTGGGAGGCGGACAACTGAAGTTCATCTACTAAGTCTCTTGCGCCTGCTGCCCACAGACCCCGGGACCTCCGCAAGAGGTACTGGGAAGGGGGTCTGAGGCGGGAGTGACCTCGGGGCACCCCAGGATGGGCTCACAGGTCCCGCGGGTTCTCCCGCTTAACCCCGGTCTCAGCAACTTTGAGCTTCTTATTTTGGTGCGTTTTGACGTGCTTGGCAAGGTGGTCGCTCCGCATGAAGCGCTTGCCACACTCGGGACAGGCGAAGCGCTTCTCGCCGGTGTGAGTCCGCAGGTGCCGCTGCAACTCGTCTGAGCGCGTAAAGCTCTTGCCGCAAAAGAGCCAGTTGCACACGAAGGGCCGCTCACCCGTGTGCCAACGCAGATGTGCTTTCAGGTGCGACGTCTTCCCGTACACCTTGCCGCAGCCCGGCACGTGGCACACGTGTTGCTTCTTTTTGCCCGGCTCCGCCTCAGGGGCGCCGCCCGCCGCCTGGCAGTTGGGGCAACGGCAGCGGCGGCACCTCCTGGCCGTGGCCGCCAGGGGGGCCTTGGTCTGCAACAACGCGGCGATCTGGCTCTGGTACTGCGCAAAGTCCGACGGGCCTAACACCAGGCCCCGTTGCAAGGCGGCGGCCGCGGCAGCGGCAGCGGCAGCAGAGGAAGGGAAGCGCGGAGCATGGGGGGGCCCGGCACAGGCGCTGGAGAGGCCGCCCCCTGGAACCGCGGAGGCCCCTGGCCCAGCGCCCGACTGAGGAATGCTCCACCACGGGAGGTCGTCGGGGGCCGGGTTGGGGGACAACTGGCGGCAGGTGGGCGGCGGAGGCGGAGGCGGCGGCGGGGGTAGGAGGTTGGAGTACCCCGGCGGTAGGGCAGCCTGCGTAGCGTAGGGCACGTAGGCCGGTGCACAGCTGGCAGGCAGACCTGCCATGCTCGAGGGCAGCATCTTGACCGGCGAGAACTCGTAGGGATACGAGGGGTCAGCTGGGGGTGTGAGTGGTAGCTCGTGTGCAGCCCCAAAAGAAGGCTGCAGGTGCGTTTTCTGTGGCGTCAGCCCCAGGCTGGGATGCGGGGGAGGCAGCGCGCCCGGTGAGTGCGCCGGCATGTCCGCGGTCCAGGGGTGGAAGAGCCTGGAGGGTGAGCCCAGCGCTGGGTCGTAGGGCACCTGCAGGAAGTCCGGGGCCGCTGCCGTGCCTGGCTGGCCGATCCGGCTACAGGTGGCGGCCAGCAGCGCCAGGGGCGAGTGCTTGCCCAGGTCCGGGGAGGCGCTGGGGGTGCGGTCCTGCATGGGCGGCGGCGGCGGGGGAGGGCAGAGAAGAGACAAAAGGTTAGCGCTCCTAGCGCTGGACTCTGGGCCGGCCCGCCACCCCCACCTCGGCTATTATACCTCCGCCCCTCCTCCGCCCGGCCGACCCTCCCCCGTACCTTACACGCACACCCACCGGTCTCGGGAAACTTTTAGTGCCTGCGTTACCTGAACGCGGGGCGCGCGAGCGCTTCCTGCTAAACTACTTGGTGCAAAGAGACGCCATCCAGCCTTTAAGGAAGGCTCAAATAAGGAGGCGGAGGGATCCGACGGGCGGCTCCCGGGTCCTGGGTCAGTAAGAGTCTGGGAACACCCACAGTCCCGCGGCCCATCCTCCCGCTCTCGCATCTTTTGAGCTTTCTTTTTGGCGCTACCCTGGCGCTCCTCCTCTGCCCGCCCCAGGCTGAAATCAGCAGGACGGCTCAGCAGGGTGAACTGAGGCCCAGTTCTCTGTCACTCGCGCACCTCCGGACCCCTAGATTCACGTGCCCCCCCCCCCCCGCCCCCAGCCACATTCTTGACACCAGGTTAGGTGTGAAGTTGATGTGGGCATCTCTAGGTCTGACTCCAGATGCACCCGCCAATGGGACTCCCTTTGAGATTCAGGGTGCACAGAATATCCAGAAAGGTGGGGAAGGCACTTCCCACCTGTTCCCGCCCTCTCCCGGCCCGTCCCTGACCTGGAGGAAGGCCTGCAGCGAGTCGTTCCGGAGGACAGCCACGGCGGCCATGGCTACAGCTTGGAGGCCGCTCGCTGTGGAGCGGGGCGCCACCGCCGAGGCATGGACACCCGAAGGCGAGGACGAACGGCCGCCCAGCGTGCCTCCCCGGCGTCCGCTTTGCGTGCCGGGGCCCTCCCCGCCCGCGCCAGCTCGCTCGCCCCGCGCGCGGTCTGAGCGCTTCAGGATCACCTCCAAGAATTTGATAAGGACTTTGCTGGGCCGCCAGCCAGTCAGAGGGAAGATTTATGGCTTTGAAGTTTGCCGCTACCCAATCATCAAAGAATAGCGGCTCTTTCAGAAGCGAAAGCAAATCCTTTGAATCCACAAAGCTCCTATGGTGTGTTTGTTGGTCTGGATAAAAGAACTGATTATTAGGGGGGATGGGAAGGGAGGAGATAAAGGCGGGACAATTAATGAAGTAATCACTATGTGGGAAATGTATATACACAAATAATTGGATTTTCCTGATCAAAGGGGGCCTTGCCGCCTGGAGACTCGCGCTTGGGTTGCTCTAGACACTCGATCACCCCGCCCCCCACTTGCAATTAAAGATTTTCACCGAGGCAGCGCCCAAAGTGACAAAGTGTCTTTGTTATCTCTAGAAAAATCTGCCTTCAACTTTCAGGCGCGGGACTCTGAGACCGGGATGAAGATAACTCTTCCTGGTAATTACCCCGAACCGGCACAACACACTCACCCGCCCGCGCCTGCCGCGGACCGGAGCGAACTCCCGGGGCAGGGCGTGGGACCGACCGCACTCGGTCGGCCGCGTGTCCCCGCGACCGCCGCAGGCAGGGCCGTGACCCGGGGCGGGGCCAGGCAGCTGCCGAGGGCGGCAGTGGGTGGCGCGCACGCTCCAGGGCCGCCAGCCAGACTTGCTCTCTCATGACGTTACTGCTGGCGACCTGGAAGTTTTCCTCAGGCCACAACTTTTGCAAAGAGTGAGCTTGGGGAAAAAAATCCGCGCCGCGCTTTACTAGCAGAGCTGGGTTTGGAAGGACTCCAGACCAACTCCGCTTTACCACCCCGCTCTCTCCAGGCAGGCTGCCCTGTATGCTGAGGAGGGCCGGGCAGGCATCGGACCGTTATTAGGCCCCACCGTGAGTCCCCAGCAATGCTAGCAATTTCTCCCCGTGCTTCTCCAAGAGAGTGCACGTTGTTGAAAGCTGGACAGACTAAGGAGATCAAGTACTCGGAAAAAGGCACAGCCAAGAAAGCCTTTTTTGTTGTGGTGGTGGTGGTTCAAAAAATCACAAATCATACAAGGGACACCCCTGGAGGGGAAAGAAAAGTCAATACAAACTCTTGTTCCTACCATTTGTGGGAAAAAAAAGAAAGTTTTCCAGGTGCGGGGCGTGCTTCTCCCTGGTGCAGAGAAGCGCTCTTTGGGACATCTCCCCCGCCCCAACGTTTCTACCTACCGAGGTCCAGCAAGGGAGGTACAATTGGCGGGCTGTCTGCCTCCCTTGGGGCGCAGGGTGCATCTTACTGGGGTGGACACCCAGATCCGACACACTGGGGTCGCTGAAAGCCAAAAGAGGAAGAGGCTGGCGGGGTGTTGCGGGGTCCTCGCTGCAGCGGTGTTATTGGGCGCCGGGAACCGCCTCTGAGGCCTCGGAGCCACGTTTCACGTGCCTGCACAACAACGTGGGCCGCCTGGGCTTTGGCATATCCTGATCCGCCAGCTGGAGGACAGTTTCCTCTCCCCAAAGTCTCCAGCTCCTGGGGAAAACCCGAACCAGAGCAGCTGGCACCTGGCCTTTCTGCGTGTTGTCCTCTGGGGACCACAGTGCGACCAGGACTGGCCTTCGAGGACCAACGAGCCTTACTCCCCGTGCAGTGCCAGAGGTTAGCTTAACTCCAAGGGTTTCGGAGTCTGGACTGTATATTGGTACCCTTCACAATTCCATCAAGTGTGTAGACTTTATGCCATCAGGAAAGCCCACATTCCCCCACGCCCAGAGAGCCAGGGAACTAGAAGGATCTTACTGCCTTTTGTGACCTGAATACGATGAACGCTCTTCTCCTTTTCCCCAAGGAGACCTCATTTCTGAAACTGTGATCAATCACTGTAAGCTCGGAAACGCGGCCTTGCTCCTCCTGAATATGATGTCGGGGTGCTCTGGAAACGGAAGGGGAGAGGGCTTAGTGGTTTTGCCCTGGGGCTTGACAGGCCTTCCCCTTCCTTCACAAGTCAGGCCAAGAAAGGTATGGGGTCCCTGAGAAACATGGTACCCGTGGGAGCCCTTTATAGGCTGCAAGCCAGAGGTCAGGGAGCCCTGTGATGCGCACCCACACTGGCACTCTGTGGTTGCTACTTCACGCCCAAGCCTGGTACTTTGCCTGGAGTGTTTCCTTTCAGCAACTGGACACCCACAACTCCAACCATACACTCTACTTTTTTTTTTCTTCTTCAAATCTGTACATTATTTAGGTTATCTCAACAAAGTCTTCACTCACTGGCCTTTTACAGACAGCAGTGTTCTGGCCCCCTCCTGACAGCTTTCCAATTGCCTACACCCTCGAAGTCGGTTTGATTCTTTAGTTTTCTTCTTCTCTGGCTCCTTGGAACTGTTGGAACTCACCTTATCCAGGAAGTGGGTAGGTTGGGCTAAGCAGGCTTGAAAACATCCTCCTTTCTGTTAGCTATTTTACCAAAAAGGCTAGAAGAACCAATTCACATCTCCTTAGTTATAGCTGTTAACTTTTCTTCCAAGATACCCCATTAGACAATTAAGTCACCATTAGTGGCAAAAGAGCGGTGGCTAGATGATTGAAAGCTCAGAGTTTGTAGCCAGGTTTTCCCCACCTTGCCACTTTCTAGTTGGAGATCTTAATGTTAATAAGTCTTATAGTGCCTCAGTTTACCCATCTGTAAATGTGCTGCCTCTGTAGAGTAATTGTGAGCTTAAAAGAGCCACTGTATCTTTAGGACAGTGCCCTGGCTCACAGTAGGACCATTCTGGAGCGTTCGCAGTCGTTGCTCTTCTTCGTGAAAACTCGCGGGGGGGGGGGGGGATCCAGCCCTCCCAGGCCCTAACTGAAGTTTGAAGAGAGATTTTGCTGAACTGCTGTTTAACCTCCCTCCCTTCGCACTCGGAGCTCCAGAAAAACTTCTTCCTAATGAAGTAATGTTTGGAGCGTCCATTAAAAATGCAATGCCGGGAGATCAAAGTACAATATTTATTTTAGAAATTTGTTGCAATCACCAAGAGATACAGGTATCAAGGCCAAATGTCAGTTCCGTTACACAAAGCCCGGCGCAGGGGAAGAGCGTGTGGCTGCTCTGCCATAATGTAAAGAGACATCAAAGACCAAGCGCGCTGCAAAAGTGCGCAGCCGGGAGGGAGGGAGAGAGCCCGGGAGGGCTAGGAGAGCCCCAAACAGCGCGGAGGCGGCGGGGGCGGGGGTCAGTTCAAAGAGGTATCCGCTGGGGCGTGAGTTCACAGGAGGGAAGATTTAATGGGCTTTCCTTTGTTGGTGGGTGTATTTGTGCACCGCGGACCCAGGAACTCCTATGCGGTCCTCCCGCCTAGGGGCGGAGGTGGGGGAGCGGCGAATCCGGAGCAAACTTTCACGGCGGCGGGGGCGGGGAGGTTGAATACCAGTCTCCCGGCGGCCTCGGGCACAGCGGAGCGGCTCTCCACGCAGCTCTCCAAGCAGCGGGGTTCCGAGGCTGGGAAGTTTGCATCTCAGTTTCTCCGCAGGCAGGCAGGCGGCAAGAGCCGACCAGGTGCAATCTGGGAAAAGAGGCGGGTAGGTGAACCTGCAGGGGCGCTTGTGCCAGGGCACTTGTATAAGGGGCAGCCCTGCTCAGCTCGCTGTAGGATCCCCTGTGGGATCACCTCTGTGGGTGCTACTTCGCGCCCAAGCCTGGTACTTTGCCTCGAGCGTTTCCTTTCAGCAACTGGACACCCACACCTCCAACCATACACTCTACTTGATTTTTAAAAAATCTGTACATTATTTAGGTTATCTCAACAAAGTCTTCACTCACTGGCCTTTTACAGAGAGCAGTGTTCTGGACCCCTCCTGCCAGCTTTCCAATTGCCTGTATCTGCCTAGTTAGTACCAGTCCTTGCTTTATTAAAGGTGCTGGGAGGGAAGGGGAAAGATTTTTCTTCGTGCATTAATGGGGCTCTGAGCCGCCGGGGGATGCCTATGCGTTCTTTAGTCATCTACAACCAAGCGTTCTCAGAGCAGTCCCTCAGCAGCCTTTTGAAGTCGTGCTATAGCAGAAAGCTTCTATTGTTCTCAGCTCTCAACATGGAAGGGATCAAACTTTGCCTCTTCAATTTGAAAGATTTTTTTTTTTCTTTTAAATGGCGGTTGGGTGGAGGGATTGCAATCTGATACTAAGTTAACTTGGAGGATTTAGAGCTGTCTCCCTGTTTAAGCTGCAGACCAAATCACAGATGCCCCAAAGCCTATGACTGACTTGGGGGCTCTTTAACATTAATACGATGGAGAATTCAGTGGCAAGCAGTTGTCACACTGGGAACCTGGCTTGGCAATCAAGTTTTCCCTTGGAAACTTTTTCTTCCAAGGAAAGGGGAATATTTCCCCAACTAGAAACCTTGAGTTCACTGTAAGCTTAAGCTGAAATAATCACCATGTAAGTGACATAAAACCAGGAGGGCTGCATTATCTCGTCTAATTCTACTTCATTTGATGGCAAGGGGAAAAAGCATTTGCATGATTTTGTGCTGCGAACTTCAGTTGATATTCAATAAATGCTTACTGGTAGTGGGTGGTAGAGTGGAATTGTGTGTTCCAATGTCACTTGTATCATGATTGGTGCCACAGAGCACACTAATACCTCATGTCCTTTCCCATCTGTGGAAGCTAAAAAGTGGATTTCATAGATTCAGAGAGTTATCAGAAGCTGTGAAGGGTAGGGTGGAGGGAGAATAAAGAGAGGTTGGTTAATGGGTATAAAATTACAGTTAGAGAAGGAATAAGCCCTTGTTCTGTAGCACAGTAAAGTGACTATAGTCAACAATAACTTATTGTATATCTCAAAATACCTCGAAGACTTTGCATGTTCCCAAGACAAAGAAATAATAAATGAGATGATGAATATGTTACTTATTCTGGCTTGATCATTACATACCGTGTACATATATCAAAATATCACACTGTACCTCACAAATTACATGTGCCTGTAATCCCAGGGACTTGGGAGACCGAGGGAGGAAGATCACAAGTTCAAAGC